TTCTCCAAGGCCATGCCCACAAAGTAGTACAATCTTTGGCAGATTCTAAGGGCTGGAAAGACTTTGACTACGGTCCCAGCAACAGACCGAATCTGCTTCAAAGAACCAGCTTAGCTAGCTACTACGTAGGAGAGGCTTATCACTAGTGGGGTGGCTTCTTGGTGAGGAATTCTTTGGCCATGGAAACCCACCAAATAAAGAATGTTAGTGGAAAGAACAATGTAGCTCAAGTCAGAAGACCTGTGTTCACTTCTAAGTCTCACCAGTCATTGTGGCACGTTGGCCTCTTAAAAGCTGTGTGCCTCAGTGCCCTCAGCTGTAAAATACATAATTCAGCTCAGTCTTGATTAGTGCAAGCAATGAATCTCCTGAAGTAGTCACGTGTATTCCGGTTAACGGGGCATACTTCCATTGGGGTGGAATCATATGTCATGCAAATATTTGCACTTCAAAGAGCACAATTTCAGAATCAGATTTCAGAAAGAGATCTAATGAACTCTGAATAGAGATTGAAGCATATTTTTTTCACTTTATGTTTCTTGCTTATTAGGTTTTGTTTTGTTTTTTTACAACATGGCTAATATGGGAATATGCTTTGCATGGCTTTATATGCATAACTGATATAGTGCTTGCCTTCTCAATGGACGGAGGAGGGGAGAGAGGAAAGAATCTGAAACTTGAACTTCTTTTTTAAATGAATGATAAAGATAAGAAAAAGAGAAAAAACAAAAAAACAAAGAATGAACATTCAAATACATACAATCACTTCAGGGGACTCAATGTTCAAAACTCATCAAAAGATATCTATAACAGAGTGCACTACCTACCCCAAGGTAGCTGTGAAGACAAGTTAAGGTACTGTATATAAAGGACTCTGTAACCACAAAGCACTACATACATGGGAGAGCCTCTTATTATCACTCCAGGATATGACAACTCCAACTGAGGTTGGGAATTACTGGCAATCATGGAAACCTTGTGTGATGATGAAAATGGAGAAACAAACCTGTCAACCCCTTTAACCACTGAAGGTCCAAGAGATTCGGGAAAATGCTCAGAAAGACAATATAGAGAGAAAATCAGTCCCTAGGTTGAGAAATGAATCGTGATCAATAAGACCAGGACAGTGCAAAGGAATAAAAATCACAAAATCACCTACCTTAAAAAAATTTAAGATAGAATTATAAAACTAGTGGGAGGAAAAGCTGCTAGGACAGATCTGGATTCCAGCAAAACAGCTGATTCCAACGTCATACAACTTTAAGTGGAAAATAAGAATTCACAATAGTTGAAGCAAGGATAGGATAGGACTCAAGGTCAGAAGAAAGACTAAGAAAGTATAGAGCACAAGAATATGAGGCTGAGAGCTTAGCTCACCCGCAAGGTGTTTTTAAGACAGGCAGTGTGAGTTAATTAAGATACCCAAAGGAACAGTTGGAAAAACAGTTTATATTGTCAGACAAGGCCAATGTGTTGGTCTATTTTACTTAACTATAGTTCTTTGTTACTCCAAAGAATTGGGGGAAGGATGTAAGTCATAGGGAAGATCATGTTTTTTTAAAACATTAATAAAACTTTATTTTTCAAATGAAAAATACTATGGCCATTTTAACAGCTACCCACTCTTGGGCGCGGTGAATGAGCATTATTACTACTATTACTAAAAACTCATAATTGGTGCTTTAGAATTTGCAAACAGTTAACACATATTACCTCATCTGATCCTCACAAAAACTCAATGACTTTTAAAAATACTTTGGTTGTTCAGTCGTGTCGAACTCTGTGTCCCCCCCAATCTGGGGTTTTCTTGGCAGCGACACTAGAGTGGTTTGCCATTTCCCTCTCCAGCTCATTTTACAGGCTTAAGTGACTTGCCCAGGGTCACACAGCTAAGTGTCTGATGTTACATTTGAACTCATGAAGATGAGTCTTCCTGATTCCAAGCCCTGTGCTCTCTCTATCCACTGCACCACCTAGCTGCCCTTAAAAATATTATAGGTATCATTTATTCCCCTCACTTTCACAAAGGAGGAAACTGAGGCAGAGATTAAAGTGACTTTCCCTCACATGGTAACTACATGGCAGGCCTGAGATTCAAATCCAGGACTTGTGACTGTATCCTCTACTGAGTATACTTCTACCACACCATGGTCTCCCTCCACCCTGATGGACCTCACTTTCTCAGTGGTGTCTCATTCCACTGCTAAGAAAACCTTCTGTGACTCACTATTGCCAAGTGAATAAAGGACTCCTTTTGTCCAGATAGAATAAAAGGGCTTCACAACCTGGCTCCAACCTCCTTTTCCTGTCTCAATCCTCATTATTCCCTACTTCATACACTCTGCATTCCACCAAAACCAGACTAGGCATTGTCTCATCTCACTGGCCCTCACCAGTGGCCTACAACCTTTCTTTACACGGTTCCATCTACGTATTAATACATATTGATATCCCATCTACATACTAATACATATTAATTATCCTTCAAGGTCCAGTTTAAATGTTACCTCCTCCAGGAGGCCTTTCCCAATTTCCTACAACAGAAAGTCTCCCTCCTGAAATTTTCTTAAGAGAACTCTGTCTAGATCTTTTCTTTGTCTTTGTAACCTATATATTTGTATACATGTTCCATCCTGCCTCCTCCCATTAGTGTCCTTAAAGGCAAAGGGCTTGCCAGTTCTTCGCTCTATCACCTCCACACTGGGCACACAGTGGATGCTTTATAAAGGCTGGCTGCATTGAACTGTTGAGGGTCACTTAACTGAGGCACAGCTATGGAAAGAAGTGTGGTCAAAAGGAATTGTGTAAAAGCATTATCTGTGATAACTAAAGGCTAGAAACAGAATGTGCCCAAGGACTATGGGAAATGGAGAAACAAATTATGGTACATGAGAAGAATATGGTTTACTATAACATCTTAAGGAATGATGATTATTGATGAACATGAAAAAATTTAAAAAGCACTAGGTGACCTAGATGCAGTGATGCAAGCTAGGACAAAAGAATAAGAGACATAGGCGCAGCTAGGTGGCGCAGTGGATAGAGCACTGGCCCTGGAGTCAGGAGGACCTGAGTTCTATTCCGGCCTCAGACACATAACACTCACTAACTGTGTGACTCTGGGCAAGTCACTTAACCCCAACTGCCCTTACCAAAAAAAAAAAAAGAAGAGAGAGGGAGAGAGAGAGAGAAAGAAAGAGAGAGATTAACAGACACAATGACCACAACAATGTGCATAAAGCCAACACTATCAGGCAACAAAACTCTGGTCAAATTTAATGGTCAAGGTAAATATCACACTGTCAAAATCAAAGGACACATCTCTTCTTCCTGTTAGCTGTTGATAAACTAGCTTCTTTTCAGGGAATGTACTTCGTGAGATTTGCTTGGCTGTTTTTTGGGAAGTGTCTAGGGAAAAATAAAAATGTATGTATACTTTTTTTAAGAAATGAAAAATAAAGGATCTATGCAAAGCGTGTATTAGGGCAACAGGTAATTTCCATCACGGCTCTCTGAACCAAAGCAGCCATGAGGAAAGCTCAAGAGCTGTGATGATGTGGTTAGTGCCCATCCAAGGGTCAAACCCACAATCTTGGCACAGTTTTAGAGCACTATGCTCTCACTCACTACGGTAACCAACCTCAGATTCTGGGGGTGACCTGAAAGGTAGATTCCAACTGTGGGAACAGCTGGGTATAGCTTCACGGAGATAGCAATAACATGGATATACCTAGGACGATTAGAGGATAAGATACATGTCTTCAAGTGATGGAGGGGAAAAAGAGGGCAAGTTTATAAACACCAAGAAACACAATCTGCAATTATAAATATTTCATGGGCAAGAGAAAGCTGTACCAGCTAAGAGCAAGCGTAGGGAAAGTGGACAGCAAATTAGATTCCAGTTTGCAAAGTGATAGGACAGCTGGAAGAAAAGCAAAGCTGAAGCTATTCTGGGCCGTGTATTAAAGGCGACTACGTCACTGATGGGGAAAGGGCTGCCCAATCCTGCTGAAACCACAGCCACTACGAGGCTAGCAAAGAACACCTTGGGAGAGGAGGCTGAGGTCATGGAAAGTCAGAGAAAGGGCTAACAAGAGTTATTCAGATTGGCTTTGGAAAGCCTGAACATCAGTTACTACTAAACAAGCTGGAAGAAGAAGACAGGGTGGAGAAAACAAAGGGGCATGAAATGCTAAGTCTACACCCAATGAGTATGTGACACTAAAAAATACTTCCAGCTGACATAAAGGGCGAGAGGAGGTTACAAGTGACAACTCCAAGAAGTAAGGGGGGTGGCTGCAGGGGGAGCAGTCCTCCCTGGGCCTAGAACCACCACCCTCAAAGCCAGAGGCCATCTGGACTTCAAATGCAGAGGACTAGAGCACACACAGGGGTGTGCTCCAGGGAACAGGCTGAAAAAAATCCAGCTGGCCTTTCCTCTACTCTAGATTAAACATCTCTTCCACTTCCCCACAGACCTCCTTAAACCAGTTTAGAAAGTAACAGATGGAGAGCCTGCTGAGCAGCAGCCTCTACAAGGGTAACACCACACCTTTGCAAAGGATGCACCAAGTGGGCTAATTAGACTGCCCCTCCTCAGCTGTGTTCAAACACTGCAAAGCAAAATGGCTACTCTCCTATGAGACCCCAGAGGCCCAAAATGGAAGGAGGGAAGGAAGGAAGGATGGAAGGATGGAAGGATGGAAGGAAGGAAGGATGGACGGAAGGAAGGAAGGAAGGAAGGAAGGGAGGAAGGGAGGGAGGGAGGGAGGGGAGGGATACTATTCCTCAAAACACCTAGAGGTGGTCTGAATAAAGTTCAGGGCCAAGGATACCCCCCTCCCCCTGCCCCCAGGAAAGGAGACTTCCAGAATTAGCAATATATACTAAGGCTGGTGTCATTTGCTTCAAGACAGTGTCCCAGGAAGTCCCAAGGAGACCATTACATAGTGATTAACTGACTTGTCCAGAGTCACACAGCTAAAAAATGTCAAAGAAAATACACATAAAATATTTTTATTACTTCACAGAATTTAGTTCTCCCTCCATCCTGGGGGGAAGAAGGGGAAAATCCTCCCTGTTCTTAGTGGGGGACTGCTCTGTGAATTGTCTCCCTCCAAGAGCACCTCCTGCAGTCAGAGTCCCTGGCCTCTCATATGAAGGTCTGGGCAATGGCAAGCACTTTGGAATACTCGCCTTCCAGCCGCCGGAGACTCGCTGGAATTGGTACCTTGATACGGGTACCCACTGGGTTCCCATTGTCCTCAATGAGGACCACATTGTTTGAATCAAACCTTGGTGTCATTTGGGGCCCAGGCATTCGGTGCCCCACAATGAGGGCCTTCTTTTTCTGCCCTTTGATGGCCACCAGGATCTGGTCTCCCACCTTGCCCACTCCGGTCTTATTGTAGACGTGGATGCACCGAGGGGGGCGGTGGTATGCAGTGTTCCCCAGAGCACTATTGTCTACCACGCGTACTCTTGTCATCTTCTGTATTGCTCCAAGGGCCTCTGTGGTGCTGGAAAAAGGAGGAGAAAACAATCTAAAATTAGACACTGTCTTCCAAGAAGCAGCTCTTGGAAGCCTGACAATTTTACTCATTATCAACTGATCTGGAGGTCCCAGGATGAAGACCATCTATTAGTGATAAATTCTCTGGGTCATAATTCAACCCTCATTTTTCCCCTGAAGATTAAAAGAAAGATTCAATCTATGACAAGAAGGTATATACTAGTACCTCTTTGCTTACGCTCACAACATAGCAATTTCTCTGGGTGGAAATTTCTACCACCAAACTCTTAGTCACATAGCTAAAAAATGTCGAAGGCAGGATCTGAACTTAGGCCTTCCTGTCTCCATGGTTAAAATCCTATCCACTGTGCCATGCTGCCTCTATTTGCTTGGTCTAGGGGCAGGGGGAGGAGATACTGACTCATGATTTCACTGGCAGAGAAAACTTCCTGTGCTGGCATAGAAATTCCTGCTACCAAGATCTGTACCTCCTCTGGAACTCAGTCTTAAGAGAGTGGACTGGGGCACTGAGACTCGCCAAGATGTGTCAAGGTAGGATTTGAACCCAAGTCCTCCCGACCTTGATGCCCATTTTCTACCCACAGGCCATTCTGCTTGTCTTACATGTCAATACCAAAGTCACTTTAGTCCAACAATCTAAAGTCTTCTGTTCAGTGTTCAAAGTCCCAACCTGTCAGAGGAGAGAAAATGCTCTCCAGCTAAGGAACTTTAGACTCATTTTAAAAAGAACCAGACTTGTGTATTGTAAAGTATCTTCATCCCAGTCTAATCTCAAAGTCTTCCTTTCCTGAGATGAAATTTTAAAGAACCAAAAAAAGGAAAATTATGGGCCAAGTCATATTAGCACCCCAAAAATCTTCCCAACCAAACTGCTAAGATTTATTGCTTCCGAGAAAAGTCTAAACTATCTCTTCTAAATGCCAACCCTTAGAGGGATCCCTCTAGACACAGTCACTTCTTAAACCTTTGCTACAAACAGCTGCAGACTTGGAATAAGAATCCTTGATCCTGAGTCTTGAGCTCCTGAAACTTATCTGTGACAGAGCAAGTGCCATAACTTCTCTGTACCTCAGTTTCCTCATCCATTGACACCACCTCTAAGATCTTTATACAATACTGAGATCACTGACCCAGCCTGGGAACAAGTGCACTGACAGCCGACCTTTAAGCACCAGCAAATAGATGTTCCTAATACAATAAAGAACTCGGACTCTTTAAGTTTACTAATTCCTCAATTAGGTTGCCAATTTTTCAGCCATTTCAGCAGTACATGCTCTCAAATTGCGTTCCTGTTACTATACCATCTCCTCTGCAGTCCAATTTCATGAGCCCATCCCTCATTCACTTATTAACTATTAAATGAGATGATGGATATACTCAAAAAAACCTGAGTCTCCTGCCAGAGGAGAATATGTTCACAAATGGTTCTTCACTTTGCTTTCTTCCCAATTTCTACTCTTTTGTAATAATAATAGTTCATTGTGTGTGTGTGTATGTGTGTGTGTGTATAGTTCATTTATATAGCTTTTTCAAGTTTACAAAGTGTTTTCCTCAAGACAACACTGTGAAGTTGGCAAGGAGGAAAATAGTATTGGGGGGCAGAGTACAGGAAAAGAAGAGGCATGGAAAAAGTCCCCAGCTGACTATAATACACCAAGCCCCACTCACCAATACTTCTGAATAAAGCAAGGCAGCTATCATGGTAAATAAACACTCAGCCTCACAGGGTTGTTGGAAAAGACACTTTAGAAACTTAAAATGCTCTAGAAATGTGAGTGATTGGATATAGAAGTTCTACTGTGTACCTGACTCCAGCTCCCAAATCAAATTCCTCCACCACCTCCTCTCCAACTCAATGTCATATACCCAACTGTCATTCACATACTATCATTATATACCAAATGGAATGATGGATGTAAAGCGCTTTGTAAACCTTAACTGCTAGACAAATGGCAGTCATTTTCATGATCATTTCCATCAAGACCCTTCCACTACAGCACTCCTCCCACACTTCCTCATAGCATGGAGATGACTCTGTGTTCTCAAAGGCTATGCTAACACAGTTTAAGTGCTGGCCAATCCTGGCCACTTTGAAAAGCTTCAAGCACAGACTTGGGTGAGGACCAAGACAGCTAGGTGTGAAGGGGAGAGCTGACCACAGCAGCTCCCAAAAAAAAAAATTCACCAAATCACAGAAGTGCTATAATCTACATCCCCGGAGAAAGACTGCACACGAAAGACTGCACACCAATAAAATCAAGATCCTCAACATACCGGCATTATCTTGATCTGATGAAAACTCCATTTCAACCTGATTCAGAACTGATTCTCATTTCTATGCCACCCTCACCTCCAATCCCAACTACCCAGCTTAATCCAAATATCCTTGCTTATGCTCCTCCCCATAAACTCACCTCACTCCTAGACCTCTGCTGACTTCCAAAGAGCTATTAATTTTCTAACAGAAGCCTGAAGATTTCTAGCAAGAAAAAATTAAGGATACTGAAGTTCCTGAATTTAAGGGAATGCTCAAAGGAAAACATCCTTATATATTCAGTTAGAAATTACCTGAAGGGAGAGTAGTTGCATCAAAAATCCCATGAAAATCTCATATTCAAAATCTATGGGAAATGATACAACTGTAAGATCAAAGGCCACTTCCCAATGGATGGTCAAAGGATATGAGGCAGTTAAAAAAATGTCAACAACCATATGATAAAAAAGATACTTCAAAGTACTAATACAAAATGCAAAACAAAACATCTAAGGTTTATCTCACACCCACCAAATTGGTAAAGAAACAGCAACAGTCAATGTTGGAGGGACTGTGAAAAGGCACAGTGGTGGAGACGGTGGAGTTCTGAATTTGTCCAACTAAGCATAAAAACAATTTTGCATTATCAGAGTAAAATGACTAAGATGCCCATACCTTTTCATCCAGTGATCCTACTATTAGGCACATACCACAGAAATGGTTAAAAAAAAAAAGAAGGAATGTTGCATTTATACAAAAATATTTATTGCAGCACTTTTATGCGGTAGCACAAAACTGGAAACAAAGTAGTTGGCCAATGATTGGTGAAAGGCTAAAAAAAGTGTGGTTCATGAATGTAACGGAATATGATTGTACTGTAGGAACAGAGAATATGATAACTACAGAGAAGCATGGAAAGAACTGACACAAAGGGAGTTAAGCCAAGCCAAGAAAACAACGTGCACAATGAAAGGGAAAGAACCACCAGCAACTGAAACCAAATGCTGCTTTCACCTCAAAGAAAAGATATGAAGAGCCACTTCTCCCACTTCTGGTACAGGGGTGGGAGACTCTGGATGTGGAAAACTGCTTAGAGAAGTAGACTTTTTTGATATGATGGTTAGTTTTGTTAAGCAGCGACCATACTTCTCCCCAGATCAGCCCACACTAGAAGCACCAAAAACTTCCAAACTCCCAAAACCAGCTCTGAAAACAACAGCGTAAAAAAGCCTGAACCTTGAGACAGAGCCCCATGCCCCACCCTATCCCCACCACTTCGAAAAGAGCCCAACTTTAACATAAAGTTCCAAATCAAGAAATAGGGTGGAAAAATGAGAACACAACAACAAAAAAAAATCCCTGACCAAAAAAAAGCTACTGTGGTGATAGGGAAGATCAAGACACAAACTTAGAAGAAGACTACGAAATCAAAACAGCTACAAGCAAAGCCTCAAAGAGAAAAGTAAATTGGACACAAGCCCAGCAAGAATTCCTGAAAGAGCTGAAAAATTATTTTCAAACTCAAATGAGAGTAGAAGAGAAAAAATTAGGTAAAAAAAAACAAAAGCAAAGGAAGAAAATAATGAAAAGACAATTAACAGCTTAGTACAAGAAGCAAAAAACAAAATACTGAAGAAAATTACACCTTATAAAACAGAATTGGCCAAACGGAAAAAGAGGTACAAAAACTCACCAAAGAAAATAATTCCTTAAAACTTAGATTTGGGTGGGTGGAAGCTAATGACTCCATGAGACAACAAGAAATAAAACAAAATCAAAAGAATGAAAAAAAAAGGATATGTGAAATATCTTATTGGGGGAAAAAAGAAACTAACTTGGAAAATAGATCCAGGAGAGATCATTTAAGAATTATTGGATTACCTAAAAGCCATGATCAAAGAGAGAGTCTAGACATCATGTTTCAAGAAATTATCAAGAAAAATAGCCCTGATATCCTAAAATCAGAGGGCAAAATAGAAATTGAAAGAATCCACCAATCACCACCTTAAAGAGATCCTAAAATGAAAACTTTCAGGAATATTATGGACAAATTCTAGAACTCCCAGGTCAAAGAGAAAATACTTAAAATAGTAAGAAAAAAAATTCAAATACTACAAAGCAACAGGATTACACAAGATTTAGCAGCTACCACATTAAGGAAATAGAAGGATTGGAATATGATATCCCAGAAGGCAAAAAAGCTGGGATTACAACCAAGAATAACCTACCAGAAAAACTGAATATAATCTTTCAAGGGAAATAAATGAATAATTAATGAAATAGAAGATTTTCAAGTATCCCTGATGAAAAGAGTAGAGCTGAAGAGAAAATCTGATTTTCAAATACAAGACTCAAGAGAAGCATAAAAAGGTAAACATGAAAAAGAAATCATAAGGTAATCCATAAGGTTAAACTGTGCACCTTTCTACATGTGAAGATGATATATGTGTCTCCCAAGAACTTTTCATTATTAACTTTCATCATTAAGGCAGTTAGAAGGATTCAACATAGAAAAAGGGTGTGGGAGTGAGTCAATTATGTTGCTAGGACATAAAAAAAATGGATAGGTGAGAAAGAGGGATGCCCTGGTAAAAGGGATAAGAGAGGGGAAGAATGAATAAAATCTAATGACATCTAAATTGGTTCAAAGAGGGAATATATGTATGTATGTATGCATATGTATATGTACTCAACTGGTAAGAGATATCTATCTTACTCAACCAGGACTTAGG